ACCTTGACACCTCAAAGGCGATGGGGCCGGACAACATCTCCCCATGGGTCCTTAGAGAAGGAGCAGAGATGCTGTGCATCCTTCTAACCACAATCTTCAACACATCCCTTGAAACTGGGCAACTACCTGAGAAATGGAAGACAGCTAATGTAGTCCCCATATTTAAGAAAGGAAACAGAAACGAGGCGCTAAACTACAGACCTTTGTCTCTGACATGTATTGTGTGCAAAGTCATGGAGAAGATTATCAGCAGGAGAGTGGTCGAACACCTGGAAAGGAACAAGATTATAAATGAAAACCAGCATGGGTTCATGGAAGGCAAATCTTGTATCACAAACCTCCTAGAGTTTTATGACAAGGTAAGAGAAGTAAGACACGAGAGAGAGGGGTGGGTTGATTGCGTTTTCCTAGACTGCAGGAAGGCCTTTGACACAGTTCCCCACAAGAGATTAGTGCAGAAGCTGGAGGATCAGGCGCATGTAACAGGGAGGGCACTGCAATGGATCAGGAAATACCTGACAGGGAGGCAGCAACGAGTCATGGTACGTGAAGAGGTATCACAGTGGGCGCCTGTTACGAGCGGGGTCCCACAGGGATCAGTTCTAGGACCAGTGCTATTTTTGATATATGTGAACGACATGATGGAAGGAATAGACTCTGAAACGTCCCTATTCACAGATGATGTGAAGTTGATGAGAAGAATTAAATCGGATGAGGATGAGGCAGGACTGCAAAGAGACCTGGACAGGCTGGACATGTGGTCCAGAAACTGGCTTCTCGAATTCAATCCAGCCAAATGCAAAGTCATGAAGATTGGGGAGGGGCAAAGAAGACTGCAGACAGAGTATAGGCTAGGTGGACAACGACTACAGACCTCACTCATATTCCTCTCTTGGCCTCCTGCAGTTCTGTGGTGGATTATACATCACTGCAATGACCACTTTGTGTTCCCCAGACTGAAGTGTACCTACTATGTAGTCTCTTTCTCCCGTCTCATCTATGCCTTGTATTTCCTCGAATTTCCATCTGTTTTTTACGAGCAGAGCAACCCCACCTCCCCCCTGCCCCTTCTATCTTTCCTCATGATCTGGTATCGTGGTGGGAAGATTGCATCTGTTATTGTCTCCGTGAGTTTTGTTTCTGTAACTGCTATGATGTCTGGGGACTTCTCATTGATTCTTTCTTGCCATTCCTCATGTTTATTCGTTAATCCATCTGCATTTGTGTACCAAACCTTCAACTTCTGTTCTAATACTGTTCTAATACTGTGCAGGGGGTGGGAACAGAGGGATCGGTGTGTGATGGTTGGTTTGGATTGTTCAGTTGCCTTGGGGTGTCGTGGCTAGAGTCCTTCTGCAGGTGTTTCTGAGGGGTGTGCTTGTCCTTCCATTTGTTCCTGGGTTATTCTGCTCTCCTTTTTCATTTCCTCCCATTTCTCCTTTCGTTTTTGAACTCTTTCATCATCTTCCTTTCGTCCTGTGTTCTGTCTCGATCGAGGTACACACTCCGGAACTCCTGCTTGCCTCTCAGCCGTGCTTTCTCCTGCAGGATCATGATTCGGGTTGATTCTGCCTTGAAAATTACTTTGAGAGGCCGATTCCTTTTCTTTGTGAACCACCCAATTCTCCGAAAATTTGCCACCTGGGTCATGTCCCCTTCGCCTATCACCTTCATGATATCTTCAATCGCTTTTTTCTCCTCCTGCTTTCTTTCATCATAAGTTTCCCCTGTAGCTTCATCTAGCCCATAGACAAACACGGATCTCTCCCTTTCCACCTCCCACTGTGACTCCCATTGCATCCTCTGATGTGTTTTAGTTCCTTCCCATGGTGTGGTCCTTCCTTCAGTCCCTTCCCTAGTTATGGCCCCTATGCTTCTTGGTTTGTCCTTCCTGCTCACCTGTTCCTGGCCCCCACAGGTATCTGGTATGGTCCCTACACATGTCCTAGTTCCTTCAATGTCTTCCAACCTCTCATTCTGTCCTAGTGTGCTGCCTGTCTTTGTTTTGGCCCCATGTGGGTTTAACAGGACCTCTGCATACAGTTTAGTTTCCATGCTTCCTTCAGACCTGTTGTCTGTGTCTGATGTAACCATTGCCGATGCTACTTCTGTAATATCTTTGTCTCTGTGCTGTTTCAGATAAGAACATAAGAACATTAGAAAGGAGGAACACTGCAGCAGGCCTGTTGGCCCATACTAGGCAGGTCCTTTACAATTCATCCCACTAATCTCTCTATCTTGATTTCTACTGCTGTGGCCTGTTGCTTCCACCTTCTGCATTCTTCTGCTAACCTCTCTTCCATCTTCCTTTCCTGCTCATCTAGTCTTCTTCCCCACTCTTCCTCCCTTTTTTTGAGCTCTGCCTCCCATTCCTCCCTCCCAGATTCGTCCTTGGAGCCCCTTGTCCTCATCCTGGTTCTAGGTTCCCCCGTTGTTCCACAGAAGGGGGGACGGGTGGTTAGGGGAAGGGGAATGGATGGTTAGGAGGAGAGTGGATGGATGGTTGTGGGGGAGGGGGAGGATGGTTATTGGAGGGGTAGAGATAGTTGGGGAGGGGGTTAGATGGTTTGGGGGAGGGGTAGGTGGCTAGGGTTAGGTGGTTAGGGAAGGGGGAGGGGTGGTTAGGGGAGGGGGAATACGTGCTTGAGAGAGAGAGGGGATGGATGGTTATGGAGGAGGGGAGGATGGTTATTGGAGGGAGGGAGGTATTTGGGGGGGGTTAGATGGGTTGGAGAGGGGTTAGGTGGTTTGGGGGAGGGGTAGGTGGCTAAGTGAGGTGGTTAGGAAAGGGGGAGAGGTGGTTTGGGGAGGGGGGTACGTGTTTGTGTCAAGTGTTTTTGTCAAGTGGTGGAGGGTGTGTGTGAGTGTGTGTGTGTGTGTGTGTGTGTGTGTGTGTGTGTGTGTGTGTGTGTGTGTGTGGTGTGTGTGTGTGTGTGTGTGTGTGTGTGTGTGTGTGTATGTGCGTGTGTGTGTGTGTGTGTGTGTGTGTGTGTGTGTGTCTGTGTGTCTGTGTGCGTGTGTGCATATGTGTGTGTGTGTGTGTATGTGTGTGTGTATGTGTGAGTGTATGTGTGTGTGTGTGTGTGTGTACTCTCCTAATTGTACTCACCTAATTGTGGTTGCAGGGGTCGAGACTCAGCTCCTGGCCCCGCCTCTTCACTGATCGCTACTGGGTCCTCTCTCTCTCTCTGCTTCCTGAGCTTTGTCATACCTCTTCTTAAAACTGTATGGTTCTTGCCTCCACTACTTCACTTGCTAGGCTATTCCACTTGCTGACAACTCTATGACTGAAGAAATACTTCCTAACGTCCCTGTGACTCGTCTGAGTCTTCAGCTTCCAGTTGTGACCCTTTGTCCCTGTGTCCCCTCTCTGGAACATCCTATCTCTGTCCACCTTGTCTATTCCCTGCAGTATCTTGTATGTCTTTATCATGTCTCCCCTGACCCTTCTGTCCTCCAGTGTCGTCAGTCCGATTTCCCTTAACCTTTCCTCGTACGACATTCCCTTGAGCTCTGGGACTAGCCTTGTTGCAAACCTTTGTACTTTCTCTAACTTCCTGACGTACTTGATCAGGTGTGGGTTCCAGACTGGTGCTGCCTACTCCAGTATGGGCCTAACATACACAGTGTACAGTGTCTTGAACGATTCCTTATTAAGGTATCGGAACGCTATTCTCAGGTTTGCCAGGCGCCCGTATGCTGCAGCGGTTATTTGGTTGATGTGTGCCTCCGGTGATGTGCTCGGAGTTATGGTCACCCCAAGGTCTTTCTCCCTGAGTGAGGTCTGTAGTCTTTGTCCACCTAGCCTATACTCTGTCTGCAGTCTTCTTTGCCCCTCCCCAATCTTCATGACTTAGCATTTGGCTGGATTGAATTCGAGAAGCCAGTTACTGATCCACATGTCCAGCCTGTCCAGGTCTCTTTGCAGTCCTGCCTCATCCTCGTCCGATTTAATTCTTCTCATCAACTTCACGTCATCTGCGAACAGGGACACTTCAGAGTCTATTCCTTCCATCATGTCGTTCACATATATCAAAAATAGCACTGGTCCTAGAATTGACCCCTGTGGGACCCCGCTCGTAACAGGCGCCCACTGTGATACCTCTTCATGTACCTTGACTCGTTGCTGCCTCCCTGTCAGGTATTCCCTTATCCATTGCAGTGCCCTCCCTTTTACATGCGCCTGATCCTCCAGCTTCTGCACTAATCTCTTGTGGGAAACTGTGTCAAAGGCCTTCCTGCAGTCTAGGAAAACGCAATCTACCCACCCCTCTCTTTCGTGTCTTGTGTGTCTTGTGTGTGTGTGTGTGTGTGTGTGTGTGTGTGTGTGTGTGTATGTGTGTGTGTGTGTGTGTGTGTGTGTGTGTGTGTGTGTGTGTGTGTGTGTGTGTGTGTGTGTGTGTGTGTGTGTGTGTGTATTTGTGCGTGAAGGTCTTTTGATTTCCGTTTATATTAATTAATGGAGTTAAGGAGCAGGATGGTGAGGATGGTCGACACTATGATACTTTTCCAGAGAGTTATGCCAGCTTTTATAGTTACAATATTCCTCAAAGAGAAATTTGATCAAGGAAAAATAATGTCTCGTTGATTAAACCAGAAACATTTAAAGGAGAGTCAAAAGTGACAAATATTCTCAATAACAAAAAATTAGATGGTTTCTTTCAGGTAAACAGAAATAAGATTAAGGAAAAAATAGCCAATCAGTTTTGTTTCTGTTAATGATAAAAATGTGTACAATATTAAACGCTTGTTACCTCTGTTCTAACAAAGGAAGTTGTAAAAGAAATTCCAGAAATCAACACTAACATCCAGCATATATCTTATATACTTCCTCCCATCACAGTGCTGCCTCCATGATCGTGAAGAGCTCTTGATCCAATAATATTAGTGATAACCTTTCTTTCCTTCGATCAAACCTAATTTCTTTTCCTTCCGCTGTACGACCCATGTGGTGTAGCGCTTCTCCGTAGGTAATAATAAATGATCTGGTTCCTCTCCAGCAGGATCATCGGTCAAGGCAGCCCTCATGATGACCACTTCCGTCATGGTCGGAATGTTGCTGTCATCCATTGGGTTTGTGCCTTCACTTCTCACCTACACCAGGTACTAATTATTAATCCTAACCTCTATTTTTTCTGTTCAGGTAAGTAGCAACCCACAAATTAGATAAGAAACTGGAACGAAGTTTCAGCCTTTCCTGGTCAAAATACCGTCTTAGTTTTGCTTTCTATTTGTATTTAAATCAGAAATTACTCAAGCTGTGGTAATGTAACTTAATTATATACGTACAGGTGTCTTTTGCTATTTTTCATTCCGTGCTACTTGACTAAATCTATGAGAAATTATTTCTCGCAGTCCAATTATAGGCATCATTTATCATCAAAATACGTATCTAAAGTGGTAAAATTTCACATAGTTTGTAATCTGGAAAAAGCTGACTATAAAAATGTCTTAGGGAGGGTTTTTAAATGACAACAAATCGTCCAACTACATATACACACCAGAGAACGAACCGTTGTTTCAATAAAACTTGTTCTGTACCTGTGTATTTTCTCCCTAACTGTTGATAGTACACTTTTGTCTCTTATTTACAAGAAACTGCAGCAACACTGATCTTTTACCCAGAGGCTCTAACACATAATTCATAAAAATGTCTTCCTCGTAATATAATTGTTTATAGAGAAACATTCATAAAATGGCTCCTCCCAAGTCCACACTTGCATTAGGTTAACTTAGTAAAGCTCTGTATTAAGACAAACTTTGTCACAATAAATGCTTGTGCTTCATCTGTATATTTTCTGCGGAACTTTGTATTAATACTGAGGATTGTCTCGTTGTCTCTTACATGTCCTCCTCTTAGGTAGAAAATTGGCAATGTTTTTTAATTTCCTGTAAGATTTTATCGTAAGATTTTTGCAGGTTTTTCACCTCTTACTGTTTTTTTTGTGTGTTTGCTTGTAATATATTTCCTTCTAGCCTAACTAGCTAAAATAAATGAATACTAAAATTTAGACAAATTTTTCCCTTTTCTTCCTCCTTCCACTTACTGCTATTTTACTTTCTTCTCTTCTTGACTTACTTCCTCTTTATCCTTATCACTGACTTTCATTTCCTCCTCTTTCACCTGTCCACTCCTACTCATCGACCCCCCCTCCCCCCACAATCTTCCTAGTATTCTTGCATGATTGTTGTTCCTTGTCTTTGTGTCTGACGAACATGTAAGATGACACACAAATAATCTGTCAAACTTCTACTTACATTTTGTGTACACTTATGTTCATTATTCTGTTTCTTAGTAGCACTTATTCTGCAATGTTTCCTTCCCAAATTAAGAGACTCGGCCTCAAGCTCTATGTTCCTCGGAACAAACAATAAATAATTATTGTACCATATTTTGCAGCATATAAGGCGCAGGCTCATATAATACATACAAAACGATGTTTACAAGCAGTTGTAAGGTAAAGTTTGTAAACCACTGTTAAAGCTTAACCAAAAGCCTACCTTTAACCCTAACCTTGAGCATATAAGGCGCAGGTTGATTTTCATAGATTTATTTTTATATTTTATTTAAAACATACAATACATTAAATAAATAAAAGTATACAGTGTCAGATATTTCACAGTCAAAAACAATTATTTCTTCATAATCAAAACACATCAGGTGTTACATTACCTGTAGAAAAATTCCTCTTCAGATGACTCAGTACAACCCCCAACACGTGTGTGAAAAACAAGATTACACATTATTATACCCGACATCAATCACATCATTACTACTTACAGTAAATATTTCACTTATTACACAGCACACACCTGATATATGAAGCCGTTATACAAAAACACATGGAAACCGTACAAGTAATACTAATTCAACAATAACAATATACACATTAATGAAGTACATGTAATAAAAATTATTTTTTGGGCAATACAACCCCCCTCCTTTCACCCCAGATCACCATATTGCACATCAACATACCATTGTTCATTTAACACAGAAACGAATAACCAACATAATTTAAGCCTAGAACATAGTATCTTGAAGATAAAAACATCTCTGTATTAGTGTAATATCCATGTATGATCCATACCCCCGGCCGGGTTGAACCCGCGGTCATAGTCTCAAAACTCCAGCCCGTCGCGTTAGCCACTAGACCAGCTAGCCACAATAAGATTCATCCAACTAGGTATATTTCTACACCATAGGAAGGTTGGATGAATCTTATTGTGGCTAGCTGGTCTAGTGGCTAACGCGACGGGCTGGAGTTTTGAGACTCTATGACCGCGGGTTCAACCCGGCCGGGGGTATGGTTTGTTTGCAGTCGTGTCATTACGATTTCTTGAGTCATCCATTTATGATGTCAACATCACAACTGACATTAAGAATAAAGTAACACAATGACTGAACTTAGTATAATGACTATAACACAAAAACTCTTCATATAGTTAAGAATGTCATCATCCATGTGAACATTACGCATGATATACACACAGACTCACATTATACATATACACATATGTACAAAACTTGAAACACAATATCACATGACGTATGATGTAACAATATATATTCACAGGATTTATAGCAGTGTCATACATGCCCAGGAACTTACATAAGAATATAAAAAATACCGAAGCAATTTGGTAAGCCCCTTCGCATCCCTATGCCCAATATACACATTAATTAAGCACTTTCAATAAAAACATTTATTTTTTTTTTGGCAGTACAACTAATCCCGCTCCCCCTTTACCTTTGATCATCATACGCACAACGTCATACCATTTTTCACCCAACATAGAAACAAATAACCATCATAATTTAAGCCTAGGACATAGTATCTTGATGACAAAAATATCTTTTCAATAGTGTAAGATGCAAACTACTCTGCTAACATTACAACTGACTTAAGAAAAGTAACACATGATTGAACTTATTATTATGACTAACACAAAAACTCTGCTTATAGTTAAGATTGTCATCAGCCACGTGAACATTACACTTCATATATTTACGGACTCACGTTATACATATACATATATGTACAAATTTGAAACATAATACCACTTTATACATGATTTAACAATATATTCACAGGGCTTATACATGCCCGTTAACATACATAAGAATATAAAAATACCAAACCAATTGGTAAGCCCCCTCAGTTCCCCATGACCACCCATGTTAAAATACATGATCATTTAAAGCTTTGCCCCAACCAAAGAGCTATCGATCAAAAATTTATGCCAGGAATACACTCATCCCCCCCCCCCATCTGGCTGAGACCAATCCTATTCAATCATTACACCATTAATTCTCGCAACCCTCGCACATTTATACCACCATACTGAACTGGAAAATTTATATCCCATCTCCGTCCATACACGACCTCATTCCTACACTTTGTTTTATAAAAATGCCCAGCCAAAGCCCTTATTCGCCACCTCCCCCTCCACCTCCCTCATAGCCCACGATATAGAAAATATAATCCACTACTATATACATGACCACCCTCCTCACACTATCACCCACTCCCTCTATATCCAAATTCAATGCTTTCAATGCCATTAACCTACCTCCTCCAACCATATCCAAGACTCTACGAAACCATAGACGTACCCTCGCGATACCCTCACAAAAGTACACCATATGATATGCAGTCTCCGCCTCCCTGCACAAAACACAACATGTGGACTTAACAACGCTCAGCTGATACAATCGTACTTTAGTGGGTAAAATCCCATGTAAAAACCCATACATAGTTTCCCGCACCCTTGACTTTAAACGTAACTTAAGGAACGCACCCCAGATACACAATTATATAAAGGAAAGACACTCTCCCCCTCCATCACCTCATTACCCCTCACAGTCCTCCCCAAAACTCACACCAACACTTTTCCTGGTATGCTAACCTGCAATAAATATCCCAATATTCCCATACACTCCTCCAAATCCCTACCCCCCACCATTGCTGCACATCATCCATAACTTCACTCACCCTTACACCACGATCCCCACCCAGCCGTATACAACTATGTTTCACATAAATACATACTCTTCAGTCTGCTACACAAGGGAATTAATCCTAAACCACCCCTCCCCAATGATGTTGTCACAACTGTTTGCTTCAGCCAATGATAACCACATCCCCAAATAAAACTCATTACCTTCTTTTGCACCAATTGCACATCGTTCATCATCAATGGGTTACCTGGATACCTGGAGGTTATTCCGGGGATCAACGCCCCCGCGGCCCGGTCCATGACCAGGCCTCCCGATGGATCAGGGCCTGATCAACTAGGCTGTTACTGCTGGCCGCACGCAGTCCAACGTACGAGCCACAGCCCGGCTGATCCGGCACTGACTTTAGGTATCTGTCCAGCTCTCTCTTGAAGGCAGCCAGGGGTTTATTGGCAATTCCCCTAATGCTTGATGGGAGGCTGTTGAACAGTTTTGGGCCCCGGACACTTATGGTGTTTTCTCTTAGTGTACCAATGGCGCCCCTACTTTTTATTGGGGGCATTTTGCATCGCCTGCCCAGTCTTTTACTTTCGTAGGGAGTGATTTCTGTGTGCAGATTTGGGACCATTCCTTCCAAGATTTTCCAAGTGTAGATTATGATATATCTCTCCCTCCTGCGTTCCAACGAGTACAAGTCAAGTGCTTCCAAGCGTTCCCAGTAGTTAAGGTGCTTGACAGAACTTAAACGTGCAGTAAAGGATCTCTGTACACTCTCTAGATCTGCGATTTCACCTGCTTTGAATGGAGATGTTAATGTACAGCAGTATTCCAGCCTAGAGAGAACAAGTGATTTGAAAAGGATCATCATGGGCTTGGCATCTCTCGTTTTGAAAGTTCCATTATCCATCCTATCATTTTCTTTGCACGTGCGATCGTGGCACTGTTGTGATCCTTGAAAGCGAGATCCTCAGACATTACTACTCCCAGGTCCCTTACATTATTTTTTCCGCTCTATTGTATGGCCGGAGTCAGTAGTATACTCTGTTCTAGTTATTATCTCCTCCAGTTTTCCATAACGGAGTAGTTGGAATTTGTCCTCATTGAACATCATATTGTTTACCGTTGCCCACTGGAAAACTTTGTT